TTTTGTCATGCTACACAGTCCTCCTTCATGCATGGATTTCTCAAGGATAGGTTGGCAAAGCAAAGGGGCATGGAAAAGCTAGTGAAGGCTCTGGTCTTGGTGTTAATACACAGATTTAGAGCAAGCTACATAGAAACTTAAAGCATATTTGGCCACCTATAAAGCGAAGATTATGGTCCTTTGTCCTGCTACCTCACAGGATTGTTGTAAGGCCCAAAAGAGATCCTGGGCATGAAAGTGCTTTGAAAACTGGAAATTAATGTGAAAGGGGGACGATCACATTGGAGGAATTTTGTGAACTGTTTGCTTGTTACAGTCTGGCTCTCTTGCCTTAATTGGACCTAAGTTGAGAGGTGGATCATGCCAAAATGTGAGTGGTTATTTCCAGCATTTAAGTACTAAGCCTCAAAGTAACCAGTATTTGGTGAGCTTGGGTTGAGATCATGGAATAATTGAGTGATCCAGGAACCCTTTCTGCATTTTGTCTGCTGGTTCATACTTACAGGGACTGAAGATTTTTATTCTGCATTGCAGTTCATCTTTGCTCTTTCTTTTCTCACCAAGGAGTTGGGTGAGGTGGCATGGGAAAAGAGAGAATGGGGAGAAGGCCATAGTCAGAGGCAACTGTTTGGGACAGTTAGAAACTTTTGTTATGGGAGCCACATTTTATGACATACTCCCAGAGAGGAGGGTTTGGAGGCCTGGAGGTAGCTGGCAACAGCTGGGTGCTGTTGTGTGTCCAAATTGGGACCCATCAGGTAGCATGTCCTGCCCCCCTAATTGCTAACCCTCTGTCTGCTGCTTTATCAGACTACGCGTTTGTTCACATGGAGAAGGAAGCAGATGCCAAAGCCGCCATCGCGCAGCTCAACGGCAAAGAAGTGAAGGGCAAGCGCATCAACGTGGAACTCTCAACCAAGGGTCAGAAGAAAGGGCCTGGCCTGGCTATCCAGTCTGGGGACAAGACCAAGAAACCAGGGGCTGGGGATACAGCATTCCCTGGAACTGGTGGCTTCTCTGCCACCTTCGACTACCAGCAGGCTTTTGGCAACAGCACTGGTGGCTTTGATGGGCAAGCCCGTCAACCCACACCACCCTTCTTTGGTCGCGACCGCAGCCCCCTGCGCCGTTCACCTCCCCGAGCCTCTTACGTGGCTCCTCTAACGGCCCAGCCAGCCACCTACCGGGCCCAGCCCTCAGTGTCACTGGGAGCTGCCTACAGAGCCCAGCCTTCTGCCTCTTTGGGTGTTGGTTATCGGACTCAGCCCATGACAGCCCAGGCAGCTTCTTACCGCGCTCAGCCCTCCGTCTCCCTTGGAGCCCCGTATAGGGGCCAGCTGGCTAGCCCTAGTTCCCAGTCAGCTGCAGCTTCCTCGCTTGGCCCATATGGTGGAGCCCAGCCCTCGGCCTCGGCCCTCTCCTCCTATGGGGGTCAGGCAGCTGCAGCTTCTTCTCTTAACTCCTATGGGGCCCAGGGCTCGTCCCTTGCCTCCTATGGTAACCAGCCATCCTCTTATGGCGCCCAAGCTGCCTCTTCCTACGGGGTTCGTGCAGCTGCTTCCTCCTACAACACCCAGGGAGCAGCTTCTTCCCTAGGTTCCTATGGGGCTCAGGCAGCCTCCTATGGGGCCCAGTCTGCAGCCTCCTCATTAGCTTATGGAGCCCAGGCAGCTTCTTATAATGCCCAGCCCTCGGCCTCTTACAATGCCCAGTCTGCCCCATATGCTGCACAACAGGCTGCTTCCTACTCTTCCCAGCCTGCTGCTTATGTGGCACAGCCAGCTACAGCTGCTGCCTATGCCAGCCAGCCAGCTGCGTATGCTGCACAAGCCACTACTCCAATGGCTGGCTCCTATGGGGCCCAGCCGGTTGTTCAGACCCAGCTGAATAGTTACGGGGCCCAAGCATCAATGGGCCTGTCAGGCTCCTATGGGGCTCAGTCGGCTGCTGCTGCCACTGGCTCCTATGGTGCTGCAGCTGCCTACGGGGCCCAGCCTTCTGCCACGCTGGCAGCTCCTTACCGCACTCAGTCATCAGCCTCATTGGCTGCTTCCTATGCTGCCCAGCAGCATCCCCAGGCCGCTGCCTCGTACCGTGGCCAGCCTGGCAATGCCTACGATGGGGCAGGTCAGCCGTCTGCAGCCTACCTGTCCATGTCCCAGGGGGCCGTTGCCAACGCCAACAGCACCCCGCCGCCCTATGAGCGTACCCGCCTCTCCCCACCCCGGGCCAGCTACGACGATCCCTACAAAAAGGCTGTCGCCATGTCGAAAAGGTACTGTATGCCCCTCCGCCTGTGCCCCCAGCTGGGGCTTAGGGCAAGGGGCTAAGGTTGGCATGGGAGGGAAACTGGAGCCACCGGCCCCTCCCTTGGTCTTCTTTACTCCTGTGGGATGTCCAGAGGCTTGAGGGGTTTGGTGTCTGTAAACTTTCCACCAGTGTTCAGGTGGAGCGTAGTGCTCCGCCTGGACTGGTATCAACTATTCAGGCTAGGAAAGGTGTCACCAATCTAGGCTAGCCCAAGTGCCATTGGAGCCACTGCCTGCAGGACTTTGTGGCTGGTACCCTTTTCCACTGTCTGAAGGATACTTAAGCCTGTTACTTGGTTGTCCTGGCTTTGGTGGAGTGGGTGTGAAAGAGTCCCTTTGGCACCAACTGTCTATGGGCAAGTTTAGGAGGTGCGTCCACTCTGGGAAGTTGAGGACCTTGCTTTCGTCCGCCGTTCTGTTGATAAACAACCAAGTTGTTTTTGTGCGGGGCCCAGGGGTGGGGTAGTTTGTTTGTGGTTTGGGAATGTAGACCAAAATTCACAGTGGCCAGTTTGGAAGGGAGGGCTTCAGTGGAGGAGGGCTTGGTTTCCCACTGAGTTGAAACCAGGCTCAATATTGTGGCCTGGATAAGACTATGAGTCTTCTGACAAAAGGAAACCAATCTGATCACACCCTCCCTATCCCCATTGGCATCTCCCCCATGCCCATCTGGAGCTCTCCCCTCAATTGTCTCATTCACCAACTGTCTTCTTCTCTCGACTAGGTATGGTTCCGACCGGCGTTTAGCCGAGCTCTCTGATTACCGCCGTTTATCAGAGTCGCAGCTTTCGTTCCGCCGCTCGCCGACAAAGTCCTCGCTGGATTACCGTCGCCTGCCCGATGCCCATTCCGATTACGCACGCTATTCGGGCTCCTATAATGATTACCTGCGGGCAGCTCAGATGCACTCTGGCTACCAGCGCCGCATGTAGGGCCATCCTGGGGATGGGGCACCATGGGGAGGGAGGGAGGGAGAGAGAGAGTAGAGGTAGGTAGGGTGCAGACCCAGGTTATAACCACTCTGGCCCATACCTCTGCTGGTTGCAGTTTTTCATCCCCTCCCTCTACCTTGTGGGCCTTCCCCAGGAGACAAACCATTTGAGTGTTTGGCAGTAACCTACTTTGTTCCTTCGCCTCAGCAGCACATCTTGCTACTGGCAATAGATCTGCGGTTTCCCCTTTACCCTGACTCCCATCTCCCCAGAATGGGAATTTCTTTTGTTTTTATTTTTCCTGGCTCCCTTTTATTTTTGTGCGCGATATTTAAGGTCGTCTGGATGGGGAAGCAACCTGCAGCTGAGGTCGGCGGCGTCTTTTTCTTTTTAGATGTGAGGGAGGCCAGGAAAGGGTTATCTTATCCATTTCCTATGCACCAAGCTGTGCCAGCAGCCCAGGGGGCCTTGACTGCCCCTCTGTAGACTGTTGAGACTGAAATCCTGTTGGGACAGTTAGTTGGTATGTGTCTAAATCCCTGCTCACCACTGATGTTCTAACTGATGGTGAGTGGCACAGTCCCAATTCCCCATCTCCCCAAGTAGGTGGTGTTAGAAAACCTTAATTTTTTTTCTCTTTTGTATGGACTACAAATAAAACTTGGGGCAATTTGCAGTTTGGAAACCTGGTTGTCATTGTCTTGATTGCACTGAGTGTCAGAGGAGCCAGTTTGACATCCAGGAAGACATGAAAGCTAAGGGAAGGCAGCCTAAGAACCCAGGGTGGGTGTGGAAAGAAATTTGAATGTGGAAATTAGAATGATTTCCCATATGCCAAGTGGGTTTTAGCTCATCTGCGTCCTACTAGCATGCCATCTTTGGGATTGGAGAGTCCAGACCAAATGGTTGGACTTTCTCAGCCTTGAATTGGTCACACCAAAATGTAGTAATTAATGCCCATTTTCCTCTGCTTATGTTTGACTATTTTCCCTGTTTTTTCTCCTGTTTAGACAAAACTTGTGCTCCAGGAGGGTGGTTCTGACTGGGGTTATGGCTTTTCTCAAATAAGAAGTGGTGAATGGGCTGCTGTGGCATTGATAAGGCTAGTGGATCCTTCAGGCAAGGGGCTCAAGTGGGTCCTGGGGTTGGGACCTGCAAAAGGAACATAGTTGGGTGGATGTTATGTCACTGTTTGGTACTGCCCTGTGGTTGAAGAAAGGGGCAAGGAAATTTGAATCAGGTATGGAGCATTCTGGCCATAGTCCTGATACTTCGCCTGTTGAACTTCACTTCACCATGGATCATCCTTCCTGTGTCCTGCCAACCTCTGCCATCACAGCACCTGAGCCTCCTTTCCCTGTCCCCATCTGTTACGGTTTTCAGATGTCTTCTGGGCTGGGTTTATATTTGAAGGTGTCATGACAAAGGGTAGGGGGTGGGGTGTAAAAATCTAGGGATGCTGGAATTGGATGAAGAATTGAGGATTCTTTATGCTTTTGTTCCAGAACTGAGTGTTAAGACTTGTGGAAAAAATATGGCAGTTCCTGCCAAGGACAAGATGGAGGCTTGGACTTAATGATGGGTGAATGAAAGAAGACTGGTAGAGTGGGGTAATAACCAGAAAACCTACTGATGCTCCTTTAGGAAGAGTGCCTTAGAGACTTGATTTGGGAGCCTGATGGAGCAAGATGACTTGGGGCAGGGTGTGTGTGTGTATGCGTGTGTGTGTGTGTGTGTGTGTGTGTGTGTGTGTGTGTGTGTGTGTGTATGCGTTGTGTGTGTGTGTGTATGCGTGTGTGTGTGTGTGTATGCGTGTGTGTAGAGGGTGCCTGCCTCCTTCGTTGGTTTCATGTGAACCTGCCCATGACAGAGTAGCTTGCTCTGGATGTCCTCTTCCTTCTGCTTATCGTGTAAAACCATGGCCTTATAACCACAAGTTCTTGTGGATGCTAAGTGGGGTTATCTCAGGGAGTTGGGGCCATAGCTCCTTTCTTTGCTTCTTTTTCTGCTCATTGCCTTGCCTTCAAGTGCTTGCTGCTCCTTTTCATTTCTTTGCAGGACTGGGAAAGAATGGGAAGAGGTGTTTGATAGGTTTCTTGTTAATTTTCTATCTGATGGTAGAATGATTTGAGGGCTAAGTTGAAGAGCTCAGCTTTGATTATTGCCCTGGAAAATTGAGGGTTGGTTGTAGGGCTATGATTGTGGCCTTGTATACTTGCAATGTTTGTCAATGTGGCTTTCTGTTGTCATCTTTTCTCTCCAGTCAGGGTTCTGCCACTGTCCCAATTCCATGGTTCCTGCAAAAAAGAGCTTAATGTGCTCTTGGCAAATGTTGATGTTCTTTGTTACAGCTGGGATTCTTCAGAGTGACCTGGCCTCTTAACTGCCTGTCATCTTTAGGTGCTGGTGCCCTTGCTGCCTCAGCCCTCAGGCATGCCAGAAGGAGCTACAAAGCTTAAATCATTTGTCATTTTCATTCCTTTGCAGATTGTTTTAAAAATGTACCCTTTTTTATTTAAATTACACCATCTGTGTTAATATTATAACCCACTCATACTTTGCTTTTTGTAGATTTCGGATTGCCGAGATCCATAACTTTAAGAAAAGTTGGTTTTAGTGGATGGGAGGACAGACATTTAATATTTTTTGGGAAAATGAGCTCTCAATGTATCTTTGGATTATTCAGCTTTTAAATCTATCAACCTCCACAATTTGTCCATCATTGGAAAAGTTTTCATTTGTTTATTCCTGGAAGTAGACCACGTAGAGGTGTCTAGTCTTGTCAACCTACTCTCTTTGGAGGCTTGGATCTTGTCTTAAATTTTGTAGTGTAGGCCTGGGGCTCCATCTCTTGCAGTGGAGGTAATAGGGCTATGACTGAGGGGCCAGCCTCTATAGGTATGCTACTATTTTAGTCATAACCACCAGTTAAGGTGTGCCAAAATCCTTGCATAGTCTGTTGATTCTCCACGTTTTTTGTCCTGTCAAGCAAACAAGTGGACTATACCAGATGGGTGAAGTCACAATGAAAATATTTAGTAGATTTATGGACTAGTGTGCTATGCAATAGGATAAGACTCTCACTTATTAAGGTACCTAAATTATATAGATACCTTAATAAGTGGGAGTTTAGACTACTACAGAAAAAAGTTTTTTTAAATTTTCTTTTTTGGTGGTACTGGGGATTGAATTTAGAGCTGGTATCATTTGAACCACTCTGCCAAGCCAAGAAATTCTTTAAAAAGTTTTAAGTAGTGGTGAATCATTTGAAATATATGTAGTGCTTTGAAATGCAGTGCTGGGGTAGCTGAAGTTGTGTGGCTGACCTAGAGAAATTAACATTCTGGAAGGCAGAACCTACCACAACGAGCTAGCTAGTTATTTTGCAAGAAGTGTGATTGGTTAGGAAGGAAAGGATGTGTCAGGCCAGTAGTTAGAGAATACTTTTTAGAGATGGGATTTAATTTGAAAACTGACTTGTTACTGAGAGAGTAAGGCTGTTGTCTCAGGTTTCTTAAATTTGAATCCTGACTTGACTTCTTAGCTGTATGATATTGGACATGTCAGAAACTGTGTGGGTTTTGTCATCCAACATTTACTGTAGTTCCAAGCAGTACAATAGTTTTCATAGACACCAAAATGCATTAGATTATTTCTAAATCTGTTTAATAAGTGAGGAAATTTTTGATCCCCAGCAGTGTCAAGAAAAAAGATCACATGGCTGACAAAGTGGTGATCAAGGAATTGAAGCAGCCATTTGAACCATCCTGGGCTTTGCTTGTTATCATTATGCTATGCTAGTGTTGGGAGGGTCAAATGAAAACATCTCATAGTCACTTCTCATTGAATGTTAGCTGTCTTATAGAAATGAGGAGTTAGAACATTTCTGGGAAGCTTGGGATGGCCTAATGGAGCACTCAGCTGAGCAGAGAACTCTGGATATAGATGTGAGTTTAGTGAGTTTTTCATTGCACTGTACATAGGAGTAATTTTGAGGCTATGAGCCACCTCTAGTCTCTGGCAACATTGTCCTCTGTTGTAGGATCACCTAACTGTGAATTTGGAAAAGAAAGGTTACTGTACAAGGGGAAGGACTTATGGAAGGCTAAGAGGGTATAGCTGGAGTGGGACTAGAGATTTCAGATGCTTGCACTGGTAGTTCCCTATGACCATCCATAGAGAATACTTTTTTTTTTTTTTAATGAAAAACCTTTTAGTTTTGTTTTTCAGAAATGAATATAGTTTCACTGTTTCTCATCTTTTAAAAACATTGACAATGACGTCTAAAAAATTAATACAGCTTTCTTGCTTGTTCTGTCTCTCTCTTTTTCCCCTCTCATCTTTTAAAAACATGAATCAGAGCTGGCAGAGTGACTCAAATGGCAAAGTGACATCCTGTACTGGCCCATTTCTTCTACAGGGAAGAATACTGACTTAACTTGGCCCTTAGATTTTTTTAACTCATTTCTGGACCAGGAGCCGGAGTTACTGGTTAGAAGTATGAATAAATAAATATATATATGTGTATATATATATATTTTTCATCTTTAAGGGTGTGAAACTAATTCAGATTATTTAGTCACATCTAAGTAGTTTTCACTGACACCAGTATTTTACCTTTAAGTTTGGGTTTGTCTGGGATGCCCCATCTCTCAGTTACATGCATGTAATACTGCTCCTTTTGCTGAAGATTTGCAGCCAGAATACATGTTTATTCTTGGCTCTTACAAAAATGTCCACTTTTTGGATGACATTGGATAAGTCACTTTCCCTCTTTAGGAACTTGGTAGCCTGCTCAGCAAATGAAGAATCACTGGGCACAGTGGCATGTCTTTATTCCCAGTACTTGGGAATACAGCAGTGGTACCTACAATGTTCCAGAAAAAAGGTGGTTTAAGATATTTTTTGTTTTTGTGGTGCTGGGGAATTAAACCCAGAGCCTTGCTAGGCAACCACTCTACCCTGAGATACATATACAGCGCAGACAAGATGTGTGCTTTTAAAACATTCCATTCAGTATCATCCTCTGGATGTGGGGTGATGAGTAAGAGGATTTGAATCAGATGTCTTGTTTTTTTTTTGTTTTAGAACTTTTTTTAAGTTCTTTTATTCTCAGTAAGATACATTTGGTTAAATGAACACTCTGAGCTACAAACCTCTGCCTAAAGCTTCATTTCACTGCATTTGTCATAGTGGTGATCATAAACAGCATTGGCTCCTTCTGGCTTAATTCCTTTTTTTCCCTTTGCAGTGTTGGGGATTGAATTTAGGGCCTTGTACATGCTAGGCAAGGGCTCTACCACTGCTGTACACCATCTCTGTCCAAGATCTTAACCTGATACTGACTGAAAAACCCAGTCACTTCTCTCTTTTTTGGTTATCAAGAAATTACCTCTAAATTCATTCAAACAGATTGGGAGATTCCAGCAGTAACCAGATTGAGTAGGGTATTAGTACATGGAGAAGAGGGTTTTTTTCCTTTCAATTGTGATTGATTTTAAAAAGCAGGGGAATAATTTAAATGTTCATTTAGTTGGATGACTTGAAAAATTACATATACACACAGATTTTCAGAAGGGAAATCAAGTAATTAGATTTCGGGGGGTGAAAGGCAAAGGTCAATAGTCTTGATGTCTGTACACTGGTATGAATTGTGATCCTGAGATTATATTTCCAGTCTCTTCCCCTTTAGACCTGTAGATATTTTCTTTTCATGGTATGGTATTTTGGAAGAAAGTTTTATTTCCAGGGCTGTTGGGACACAAAAAATCTGCAAGATCAAACTGAAAGGAGATGAGTGGATTTCCATTCCATATGTGTTTTCTGCTGCAGATTGAGTTGTGGTACTCTTAACATTGGCCCCCTTTGGAAGGGCATATGCAGAAGACTAACAATTGGTTTTCTTCATTACCGGTCCTGTGGCCTTTACTCCGTCTCAGGTGCATCAGGATTTACAGAGAAATGGAACAAAACTAGTGCCTATATAAATGTCCAATGTTGACCTTTTTTTTTTTTTTAATAGCGAATAGGCTCTTGATTAGTTTCTTAGTTTTTTTTTTTAGCTATTGGACTCTTTAATCATGTTGGGTTTAAAAATCCACTCTTTTCCAGTATTCCATCTTCTGCTTTACAAAACTTTTTTTTTTTCTTTTGTGGCTGCTTTGGGTGGTGTATGTACTATTTATGTCATTTCCATTTCTTATGATCCCTGTCCTCATAAACAATGCACTGCTTTTAGCCTGTTCTGTGCGTTTTTTAAGTTCCTTCATCCAGCCCTTGCACCCCCAATTTCCCATTTAACTCCTTCAAAAGCTGCTTTGCAAAGGGTCGTGACTAAAGCTGCTTGCAAAATGGATATGGGATTATGTAAAGCAGCCAAAGGGTGAGAAAAAATGAGGGAGCTGGACCCTGTGAAGAATGTTTTGATTGTATTTGCTTACAGCTGATTGTGACAAAGCTCTTCCCTCTACGGTCGATTCAAGGGGCTTAAACCTACAGCTCTGGTTGATGGCGCCCAATAAAAATGAAACAAACAAACACTTTGCTCCCGTTTTTTCTCAGGGACAGGGCGGGGTGAAGGCGGGGGTCTGTTCAGTGTTCACGGTCACAGAAGTTTCAGCCTGGGTCCTGGGAGGCTGCTGCTTAGAGGGAGCGGGAGCGGGAGTGGGAGCGTGAGCGTGCCTGTGCCTCTGCCTCCTGGGCGGTGCTACACATCTGGGCCATTACAGTGTAGATGGAGCGGGACCTGCTGACCGCTTCACAGTGGTTTTAATTTGAGAGTAGCTGCGGGACTCTCGGGGCTATAGTGCGGATTGTGGCCGAAGGAGGTTGTTCTTCTCAGGTTGGGTGGTGGGTGTGTGGGGTCCTTCGCTGTTTTTCTTACCTGGCGTCTAGGCGTAAGCTATTGTCTCAGCATGTGGGCTTCGCAGGGGGAGAGGATGGCGTTTGGGAGTTCAGAGGGAGAAATTTGGAGTGGAGGGCAAAATGGAGCACGGAATGCTGTCAGGATGTGCACGTGGAAGGGGCGAAATGTGAAAGCTTAAAAAGTTGGCGCCACGAAGCTACAGACTGCCATACAGGAGCCTCCGCTCGCTCCGCCTAATGGCGGGCCGCACCTCGCCGGCAAGGCCCACGTCTGTAGTTCCTCCCTCACGCCGACTTCTTGCCCAATCAGTGGCTTCGGCTTCGCTAAGTTGGTGCTCATTGGCTTTCGCATAAAAGCTCCGGGGGGTTACTGACGTTTCCACCTCTTCCCGGCCTCTCAGGTAATTGGCGTTCGTGGTAAGCAATCAGGAAGAGGATCTCCGGGAACGCCTGCCTTTTACTTTATTGAACGGCCAACCGGTGGTAGGTTCACCTCCCCCTTTCTACCCAGAGTTACTGCTGCGGCCGCCGCCATTTTAGCGTTTTGTCAGAAGCGTCGGCGCCGTGAGGAAGAGGTCCTGCAGATTTCCGTGCGGTGAGAGACTCCCGGGTCCTTCCACTGTTTATCTTTCGCTCTGTGAAATCTCTCACTTCCTTGGGCGTCCGAGGTGTCCTAGTGGGGTCGCGGCCTGCGCACCCGTCACTGAGAGCGGACCCCGGTCCTCGGCTTTGCGCGGTAAGCTTGAAGCAGCCCTTCCCCCACCTCCATCCCCCGAGAATACCTTGCTTTACACCGCTCCCAGCCCCTACCCCACTTGGCTCCACTTCGTCCTTCGGCGTTTCCACCGACATAGCCGTTAGGCTTAGTACGTAGCACCCCCTCTGGAGGATTCCTCAGGCCCTGTGACAGTGTTGCCCGGTGAATGAAGCCCCTCTGCTGGCCGGACATTTCTCCATTCAGCAGGAGCTCGTAAGACCGTATCCCGAGAGAGGCGTCCCCACTCCAGCGCTCGCCTGTGCTTTCCACGCCTGGCTCCCTGGTGCAAGCCCTGAGTTCAATATTTCGAAAGGAAACCCCTAAACATAGGTGCTGAAGGCCCACTTTTCCGGAAATGGTGGTTACTAAAAGGACGAGCTAATTTTAATTTCATGCAGTTAATCGGCAAGCCCAGTACTTGTTTTCTCATTGTCCTCATAGTGAGGAGAAAAGCAGTGTCCACAGCTCTTCGTTGTGCTCAAAACTCATTCCCATTTTTGTTGGAAGTGTCTAATTCTTGAGCCCGTTGTCTAGGGTTGGAGATGCAGCTCTGTGGCAGAGGCTTGCCTAGCATATAGTGTCCTAGGTTCCAACCCCACCACCACAAAACCAAAACCAAACCCCTTTGTCTACTAACGACTGCCCTGTTACAGAGCTCTTATTCTTTCGTGTTCTTTGGCGGGTACTACAACAGATCTCCTTATTTCACTCCCATTTCCCTGTTACTGTTGTGTGGAGGTGTGAGTGTGGGCATATGTGAGAGAAAATTGTTTGGAGCTGTGTGCTATAGTGAAAGAAGATGACATTGATGTGTTTTTAATATAGCTGCTGTGGGCTTAAGGTCTTTTGCTAAAAATCTTCTTTCTTTCCCAGGCTGTGTCAGGATGGTGAAGCTGTTCATCGGAAACCTGCCCCGGGAGGCCACAGAGCAGGAGATCCGCTCCCTTTTTGAGCAGTATGGGAAGGTGCTGGAATGTGACATCATTAAGAACTATGGCTTTGTGCACATAGAGGACAAGACGGCGGCTGAGGATGCCATACGTAACCTGCACCACTACAAGCTGCACGGAGTGAACATCAATGTGGAAGCCAGCAAGAATAAAAGCAAAACCTCAACAAAGTTGCATGTGGGCAACATCAGTCCCACCTGCACTAACAAGGAGCTTCGGGCCAAGTTTGAGGAGTATGGTCCAGTCATCGAATGTGACATCGTGAAAGATTATGCCTTTGTACACATGGAGCGGGCAGAGGATGCTGTGGAGGCCATCAGGGGCCTTGATAACACAGAGTTTCAAGGTGAATCACTCTCTTTGGGTAGAGAGCTGAACACAAGGCTATGTGCAGACGTTGGATGAGTAAAGGGAGGGATTGGAATAGAGATAAAACTGGTGTCTGGCTGGTGGTGAAGGATGGGTGATGGGTGCCATAAAATGAATTGTAGACTGCATGATTTAGAAATCAAGTCTGGGAAAAAACCCATGTGGTTTTCATTTGGAGCCCTTAAGGCTTTTGTGCCTCTCCATTTAAAAATCGTTTTCTCTGAAGATACTCAATTTATTGTCGTCTTTCTTTTTTTTGGTGATAGAGTGCTTTACTCTGAATTTATTGCCTCAGCACTGTATCACTATTATGTCTCACTTGATATATAAAGAACCAGTTAAAACAACATACTAGAGCAGAATTCCTTTTAAGCTCCCCCATGTCCCCCCACCCTTAACTTTTTAACTAGGATATAGTCTAGTTAATTTTGTACTAAATCTGTACTAATAGGTTACATTTTGAAAGCCACTCTAGAATTAAAAGACTGACTTTAGGAGTCTATGAGGAGGAGGCATTGGGATTTGGGATTTTAATGGCATGTCTTAAAATTGGTGTGAGGGGTAGACTGACTTCATCTTTGGTGAATAGTGTACTTATTTGGGTGTTACCTTGGAATCCTGACTAGATGAGTTTGTATATGTAGAGAACAACATGGATGGTGGTGTGAATTGTCACTTTATTTGGAAGCGATTCTGTTCTCTTGGTTTAAGATCTAAACTCCCTTGTTAGGAGTGGCATTTAGGAGATAGTAACCATGGTGAGCAGCCAGCTGAACTCTTAACTCTTCGCCCCTTCCTTTGGGTCCCCAGTGTCTGCTTTTCCCTGTGGTTGTAATTAACATCTGAATAGAGTATATGCCTATAACTTGTGGCTACATTTTAAATGTATGTTCTGACCATATTGACATGAACATGGTGGTGACTGGTTCTTTTCCTGAGTACACTGCCTTTATTAAGATGTGCTTTTAACTACCATTTCTGTTCATTTGCCTTACTTAAAGCTGGAGGTCTTATTCCCCCAGGTAGTGGGTGCCTTGTGTCATGGGCATTGCTGTGAGCATTAGTTAAAAAAAAAAAAAAAAAAAGTGTTAGAGATCTCTTAGGTCTAGTTTGCTTTCCTTTTTTAATTGGCAAATTGAGAATTATTTTGTCAGCATCTTAATTAGGAGCAAAGATTGCTGTTGTGGAGGGTTATGGTTTGACTTCTGATTTTTGGATACTGTTTGACACTTTTAGTCATAGAAGTGATAATGTGTTGCTAGTAGCAGTTGCATGTATAGGGGAGGACAGTGTGGTTTGATCAAGGGCAGATGATGAGGAAGGCATCTGAAACTGGTGCTAACTTACGTTTAGTCGTTTTTACACTGTTTGCCTTAATATCACCTGCCCTCCACCCTCGTACTGCAGAGAATGGAACCCAGGGCCACATGCATACTAGGCAAGTATTGTACAACTGAGCTATACCCCAGCCCCTCTTTTTCTTTTCCTTTGGATGGGGAGGTGTCTCTCACTATGTTGCCCAGGCTGGCCTCGAAATCTTGGGCTCAAGCCATCCTTCTGCCTTCAGCCTGCCAAATAACTGAAGTAAACTAAAGGCATGCATCAGTTGCATGCCAGGCGCTCTACTGCTTGAACCATGCCTTCAGTCCATTTTGCTCTGGTTATTTTAAAGATGGGGGTTTTGCAAATTAATCGCCAGGGCTGGCCTTGAACCTCGAGCCTTCCAATCTCAGCCTCCCAAATAGCTAGGATTGTAGGTGAACATCCAGCATTGGCCCTTTAATTTCTTTATACTAATTTATAGTATCACCAGTTGCTGAGTGGTGCTATTTTTGGCTGTTCTTTTCTCTCAGTGTTGGGTATTCTCTTTGTTGTTTGTCCAATAAAGAAAAATCTATTTTAGATGTTTAAAGATTTAGTTTCTCTCTCTTTCTTTCTTTCTTTTTTTTTCTTTTCTGGTGTTGTGATCGAACCCAGGGCCTCACACATGCTAGGTAAGCACTATACCACTGAGCTACATCCCAGCCCTAGCTTCTCTTTTGCATTAGAATCGGCAGATCCTTAAATCAGGGTATTTATTGACCTTTATATCTCAAATGTGGTCTGTTAGTTTCTCGGTTGCATTTGTTTTCTCTAATTTTGTCAGGTGCCAAAGGTATTCCTTAGGCAAATGGCCAGACACAGGCTAGCATTTTAAGGCACTTAAATACATAATCATCTATCTTAGTTTGTTTCATTTATTTATTTATTTATTTATTTATTTATTTATTTATTTATTTATTTAGGGGGCACTGGGGCTTGAACTCAGGGCCTCTTGCTTGCTAGGCAGTTCTACCACTTGAGCCACTCTACCAGCCCTTTTTTTGCGACAGGTATTTTTGAGATAGGGTCTCCAGAACTATTGAACTGTGACCTCCTGATCTCTGCCTCCTAAGTAGCTAAGATTACAGGTGCGAATCTCTGGCATCCAGCTCTTAATTCTTTTAATGACTTGCAACCTAAACTTAAAGTATGTAATAATTAAACCAGGAACTATTTTTGGTGTTTTGTTCCCTCCACTCCTTTTTCTAGTCTTCTAGAGCTTAACTTTAATTTTGCAGATAAAGTCATATATTTACCATTCACTTCTTAATATCTGTGTGCTTTGATGCATTGCAGTCAGTAAATTGGAAAGACCTTGGTGGATTTGGATTGGATCCCATATGAATCTGCATTTGTCACTCAACCGGTAGATTTATTGGTGGAAATTGCTCAGGAGATTTAGAGTTCAGTTTTAACTTTTCCTAGTTTCTGCTTTTCTTCTGTTAGGATTTTCAGAAATAGTGTTTCATTTTCAAAATATAAATTGTGATCCCCCCCCCCAAAGAAAAGTAGTATTAAGTGCATGTTCTTAGAGTCTCACATTCTTTTGTTCTTTCTTCATTTCCTCTCTTCCTCCCTTCCTTAATAGGGTCTGGCTGTGTAGTCCAGGCTGGTCTCAAACTCAACTGTCCTCTCACCTCAGCCTCTTGAGTGCTGGGGCTACAGGCATGCACCACCAAGTCCACTTTCACATTCTTATTTAGAGAAAGAGTACTTTAGTTTTGCTAAACTGAGCAGTTTGGTCCATTGACTAATGTTACTGATTATTCTCTACTTTCTCATCCTCTTTTCCATGGCTTACAAATATTCTGTCTAAAAATCGGGGCATTTTTGTGAACAGCTTGCCCTATTTTCGTTTGACCCTACCAGAGGGTCACTAAAATTAGTTGTCAGATTAAGAATCCTTATTAGGATGATTATCAGAAACTATTTAAAACACTCAGTTAAAGGGGAAAGCTTTCCTTCAACTTGTTTTGTGTTCCCTATTCTCCTCAGTTTATGATTTGAAGCCTGACAGCACTGTATCAAATCCTGATCACTTTTGTTTTGGGTGGTATTGGGATTTGAACTGAGTGCTTGTTAGGCAGGTGCTCTACCACTTGAGCCACTCTGCCAGGCCTTTTTTGTGATGGGTGTTTTCGAGATAGGGTCTCACATACTGTTTTCCTGGGCTGGTCTTGAACCACGATTCTCCTGATTTCTGCCTCCTCAGCAGCAAGTATTACAGGCCTGAGTCCCTGGGACCAGGCTGATCACTCTTGAATGGTGGTATGGTAACTTTAGAGTCTTGCTGTCTTTGGTTTTGGGGGAAGATATAAACCTGGCCTTGATATTCTCCTGTTTAATGGAATCAGTCTTGATAGTGAAGACTGAAGGTGTCAGAAATGTGGAACACTTACTCTTGGTGTTTGGCCACTACTGGGAGCAGATTTTTTTTTCCTGCAGTTACTTGGCAGTGGATGAGATCTTTGTTTAGGAGCGAGGGTCATTTCTTAAGTGGTAAACTGGTGTTAGATCTGTAACATTTCTTCATCTACTTCATCTATTCAGCTGAAAACACGTCATCGTACTGAATTTATTTGTTGGGCCTTATTTTTTTCTTTTTAAATCTTTTTGGCAAAGGCGAGTCAAGCATTAAGAGTTGTCTAGGTAAAGCCATTGTTATGACCAGTGGCTGGGGTAGGGGTTTGGCCTATGACTAAGAGTGATAGCAACCCTTCTTGCGTCTGTTTCTTCAAGGCAAACGAATGCACGTGCAGTTGTCCACCAGCCGGCTTAGGACTGCGCCCGGGATGGGAGACCAGAGCGGCTGCTATCGGTGCGGGAAAGAGGGGCACTGGTCCAAAGAGTGTCCAATAGATCGTTCGGGCCGCGTGGCAGACTTGACCGAGCAATATAATGAGCAATATGGAGCAGTGCGTACGCCTTACGCCATGAGCTATGGGGATTCATTGTATTACAACAACGCGTACGGAGCGCTCGATGCCTACTACAAGCGCTGCCGTGCTGCCCGGTCCTATGAGGCAGTGGCAGCTGCAGCTGCCTCTGCGTATAATTACGCAGAGCAGACCCTGTCCCAGCTGCCACAAGTCCAGAACGCAGCCATGGCCAGTCACCTCACCTCCACCTCTCTTGATCCCTACGATAGACATCTGTTGCCGACTTCAGGAGCTGCTGCTGCCACAGCTGCTGCTGCAGCAGCAGCCGCTGCTGCTGTTACTGCAGCTTCCACTTCATATTACGGGCGGGATCGGAGCCCCCTGCGTCGCGCTACAGCCCCAGTCCCTACTGTTGGAGAGGGCTACGGTTACGGGCATGAGAGTGAGTTGTCCCAAGCTTCAGCAGCCGCGCGGAATTCTCTGTACGACATGGCCCGGTATGAGCGGGAGCAGTATGCAGATCGGGCGCGGTACTCAGCCTTTTAAAGCTTGAGGTGAGAGCGGTGGGTTGTCCCCTGTTCTGATTTTGCCATCCCATCCCTCCTGCGGCCTAAAGAGCTCCAATTAGGCTGCATGCTTGCTTGCTTTTTGCAAGGTTGGGCTGAGGTTTTGAGCATAGTTCAAGGGTTAGGAACAAGTCCTAAATGCTTAACTTTAAGTAAATGTTCTTGGCCCTCATTGCTGTTTATCTAGCATTTCTGCTAGTAGGAGTCACTTTTCTGTTTTTTTGTGGAAAAACACAGAATGATGTGCTGGTGAATTTTGGGTCATACCTGTGTGCTACAGTTGGACTGATCCTGGAATCCAGACATTCAGAGTCAGGTGTCCTGCTTCTCAGAGCCTTTGTTGAGTTTCCTTGATGTGTGGTATTACAAGTCTTCAAATTTTCTGTGTGTTTCATGCTATGTGAAGGGTCTGATACAACTACTAATGATAAAGTGTATAACCCTAGTTAACTAGTTACCACTGCTCAGGTCCTAGTTAACTGTGAAGACTACCAAGATGGCATCATCTTAATCTTGAAGTGTATTTCTGACATTCCCAAACAATTCAGCCCTTACGTGTTTTGTAGAACTTAACTTGATGGTAAGTTGACGCAGAGAAAAGTAGAAAATCTCTCTTACGAAGTTCAGCAAGGAACTCTGGACTTGCACTGCAAAATCATTCCCTGAAAAGAATGCCCACTCTTATCTTTGACTGTCCTGGAACAGCCTCTTTGTTCAAGTTAGGTGTTTTGTTCCCACAGTGTTTGGTTTGACATCTTTCACTTTATCGAGGTATCTGGCAACATAAGTACATGCACACCTATTTTTCTCTTTGGTGATGTTGAAATTCAGGGCTGGGAGTGTTGCCATAAGCAGATCTCTCCCTTCATCTTCCCACTAGTTATGGGCATTTAATACTCTTGAGCCACCACCTTTACCTTGAATCCTAGCTTTATTCTCTACCAAATATTTTGAGCTTCATGATCTATTTGGTTCTACTTGAATGTATTCTCTTTTGATGCTTGACAGCATTGGGCTCTAGGTTTTTGAGATTAGTGTTGTAGTTAAGGGTAATTCTCAATACCCTGATGAGTTGTGATTAATCCCAGTGTGTCCCTTAGCCCATGTCCCAGACATTATCATAGGTCCTTAGTCCTATACAAACAGCAGGAGTGATACTTTGTCATCTTTTCAATTAGGAAAGAAGGTATGTGACTTGCCCAGGTCCATTGTATAGGAAATAATTGCTTGGGCTCATTCGCTAGGAAGGTGACTGGAACAGAAACTTAAGTGACTTTGTGTAGCTTACACATACCCTCTAGCGCCTTCTTTAAAAGTTAGTTTCTTAAGTAGGCAGAGTTGGATGTTGTTAGATCTTAGAACTTGCTCAGTTGATGTTACTTTTGTCTCTGCCTTGCATGGTTTTTAACTTGGATCTTGGCAGTAACTCCCAGATTGAAACAGACTGTTGACTTTTTACCCCAGAACGTTAATTGGAACCTTTCCTTTTTTTCTTCTTTGACATTTTCTGATGTGGAATTAGCTTCTCTGGGGAATGCTATTGTTAACATCAAGAGCAATGGGATGTCTTTGCGTAATTTCATGAAAGAAGATATGCTGTTTAATTTGGAGAAAGACCTTTATCTAGGATTTAGTCTTCCACAATGGTTCTCTGGCCTTTTTCTTTTTTTAGAGATGACGATACTGGGAAAAGGGTACAAGTAAACAGAGTTATCACAAGTTATCAGACTTGGTAAAGATAGTCTTCGAAGTTTTAAGTGGGAAAGCCCTTTTGAGCTTTGCTGTAAAGCCACTGTATTGTGCTCTCTTTCAGGTGGGATGTGTGTGGGCTGAAATTCCAAGCTGCGGTTGTGCATGGGAGAGAATACACCCTTCGTGGTACCCCATCTCCGGGACGTTCTCAGCTCTGTGCGTTCAGGAACCGTGGACCTTAATTTACTTTGCTAAGTTCAGACCTCCTTTCCTCTCTCCTGCCAATTTTCCTGGGTTTTTTTTTTTTGTTGTTGTTGTTTTTGTTTTTGTTTTTAAGTACTTCTGTAGCTTCCCATTTATGTTATGTTCTCCCAGCAGGCCTCATTGTATGCAGAAACTAGTGGGGGCTGTGCTGTCACCTTCCTGCCACCTGCCTCCAGTGGGTGTTGGATTTGGGAATGACCTTGTGAGAGAGTCACTGCTCCAGGGTTTCTTTTTTGGCCCAAAGGCTAGACCTGTAGAGTTGAATCACTTTTTTTCTTTCCGGTGAAATAAATGTTTTTTCAACTTAGGGTATGTGTGGTTTGAGAGAGTTCTTGCTTGGGCTTGTTTCTGCGTTCTTTATTTGTACCTTAGGAGAAGGGGAGGGTCTAAAGATTAAGATAGGAGGCTTTGGGTGAACATTACTGCAGGTGTTTTTTAAATTGTAGATAGAACTTTTAGGTGCTAAGGAAAAAGGTTATAATAAAGAATGGAGGCGGGCAAACTTACTCCAATGAAGACTTGTACTGGTTTACCTTTGTTATAAAACCAACTACTTACTAGTAGTTTAGAGATGTAGGTCTTTCTCGGTTAGAGAAATAATCCCCTACGACTACTGTTCCAACCACTCAGTCAGCATTTCTGGCTTGACTTATTTCCAGAAAAGAGGTATAGAGGAAAAGAAGGGTTTGAGGGAGAAGGGGGCAGCTTTCACTTTGGAAAAAGGTGATCCCATGGGAGAGACCATATGCTACTTCTATAGGCCAGAAACACCTGTGATACCTTTTACCATCTATTTGTATAGCTCTGCCAAAATCTGGAAGATACTTGAATAGTCCCATTAGCATCTCCTAGATTATACTAACAGCCTTTAGATGATCAGCATACAGAAAGGACCTAGCAGTAGCTTTCAGTAAGCTTACTGAACAGTGAGGATGGGAGCTGGGGGTTGAGTGCAAGGAAGAGCCACTGCCTTAAGTAGTTAAGAGTTTTTGCTTGTTTTGAGACAGGGTCTTGCTTGTAGCCCAGGCTGGCCTGGAACTTGGGATCCTTCTGCTTCCACCTCCCAGTTGTTGGGGTGTCAGGTATTCTCCACTGCCTGGTGCTGGTTTTTTGTTTTGTTGAGACAGGGTCTTACTAGTAGCCTGGGTTAGCCTTGAAACTTGCTATGTAGCCCAAGCTGGCCTCTAACTTGTGATCCAGCAGCATCGGCCTCAGTACTGGGATTACAGGTGTGTGCCACCACACCCAGCTTTTTTTTCCCCATTGAAATGGGGGTCTTAGTAGCAGGCACCTGCAACTGCACCCAGCTATTGTCTTCCATATTTTTGTTCTCTATTTCTTGCTCCAGTTTCAGCATACAGGACGGTGTTTTAGTAAATACTGAGCACCTTCTGTATGTCAGACTTGCTTTTGGGATGGGGTTGGGAAATGAGAGAGAAAGGATTGGTCTATACTGGATGATTTCTCAGGTTCTAATTTTTTTTATCCTGTTGATCTAACTTGTAGATCAGATTAGAACAGCTCTGTATCAGTAAAAAGTTATTAAATGTTTTCTATGATGTGAGGCCTTGTGCAAGGTGTTTTAAAGTGTTCTCACTTAATTCTCCCAGCAAATAGTGTTCTTACCAGTTTTTTCCTTCCCTGTCTGGGTTGGTTTTCTGTGGCACTGCCATCTATTAGAAAGGATCATACCTACTTTGGTCCCTCTTTTTCTAAAGGACACCTATCACTGACCTGCACTTACACTATTTTCATTACATCCCTTGGGTGATGGGTGGGGTTGTGGCAAGTTTCAAAAGATGGGAAACTAACGGTATTCACTGATTCAAGTTTGATACTTTTCAAGGTGGCACTTATATGAGGGGAGTAGATAGGATGCATTGTCAAGTAGAGAACTTGGTCTAAATGTTGATGGTCTGAAGGATTTTTAAGGAACATGTCATGCATAGTAGATTAGACCTGGGCTTTTTTTTTTTTCTTTTTTTGAAACTAGGTCTCACTGTGTTGCCAGGCTAATCTCTGAACTCCTGTGATCAAGTGATCCTCTTGCTTCTGCCTCCTGCTAGGATTACAGGCATGAGCCACCAGTGCCCAGCTTTAAATGGTGCTGGGGATTGAACCCGTAGGCTCCCACACACTTGGCAAGCACTTGCTTTCTGGTTTAAGACCAGGTATCTCTCTGTCAAACAACCTAAGAGTATTTTTCATGGCTCAGAGTTAAACGTTAAAACTTTTTCTTGAGACAGGATCTCACCTGTGTAACGCCAGGTTGGCCTCAGACTCATGCTCTTCCTGCCTCAGCCTTTCTTTTTTAAAAAGCATATTTGCCTGGTGTGGTGCATGTTTGTAATCCCAGCACAAGAGAATTGAGAGTTTGATGCCAGCCTGGGCTACCTAGCAAGCCTGTTTCTCAAAAAAAAAAAAAAAACAGAAAACTGGCTGGACACTGGTGGCTTATGTCTGTGATCCTAGCTACTCGGAAAGCAGCGATCAGAAGGATTGTGGTTCAAAGCCAGCCCTGGGCAAATAGTTCATGAGACCCTATCTCAAAAATGCCCAACACTAAATAGGGCTGGTGGAGTGGCTCAAGTGGTAGAGTGGCTGCCTAACAAGTGTGAGGCCCTCAGTTCAAACCCCAGTACCGCCAAACAAAACAAACAAAAAAAAAACACACTTGCAAAAACTGACTTGCTGAAAGGAAACAGTTTATGAAGAACATTGGGAAAATGATGAATTTAAGACAATTTGAAAAGATAGTTTAATTCAGAATTTTCAAGATTAAGGTGGTTTGAAATTGTTTCCAGTCAAGTGAGACCACATTGCTTGTGTAAATGAACAAAGTAATACTGGCATCACTTACCTGAGGTGCCATAAAGTACTTTACCATTCTGTTCCTTAGCACTTTACCATTCTGTTCAGTAATATGACTAGCAGGCACTTGTGAGCTGACTTTGCACTCACTGAGTAGCCACTGAATGCCTCCTATGTGTAGGTTGTCTTGTGGAGATTACACAGATGGTTTTGGCATGTGGCCTATCCTCATTTGCCTCTGTTTTTTTAGCTAGTTCCTGTCTGAACCTTGAGTACACAAATGATTTTTAAGTCAGGTGGTGGATGGAGATGGGAATGGTTACACTTTTGTAATGATGTTGTGTAGCCTGGATCTGAGTGGATCAGAGGACCTACAAGTGTGACCTTCGAGTTCTAAAGTGGTGTTAGACCTCTGTGTGCGAGCAAGAGCTGAGGATTAAACCTGGGGCCTCATGAAAGTTAAACACATTAGTTATCATCAAACTGTACCTCCAGCTCTGGTGTTAGACTTTTTCCCAGGCATCCTCAAAAGGGGTTGGGACTGGAGGTATGACTCAAGCAGTAGAGTACCAGTTTTTCACGTGCAAAGTGTGAAACCCTTATGTGGGTGAGTGCTAAGTTAAACCTAGCTTCATACCCTATAGCTGTACCTAGGGGGATGGAGTAGTGAGAGGTGTAGATTATGTACTATGGATATTAAGTGCTATTTCAAAGTGTTGAGTCAGTTTGTACAATGCCCAGGGTTCTTAATACGTGATGTCATATTAAGGCAAACGATTTCCAGGACTAATTTTCTGCTTGGGGCTTGAAGAACAGTTTTATGTTGAAGCAGGAGAAAATAAAGAGTTCCAAGAGGAGATGTCTGAAAGAGTTTATTGTATTTGAACATTTATTTTGGGCTCATTGAGGAGTTCATAGCTGAATTACTGGTTAAGTACAGAGTAAATAAAAGGATTAACTGGAGAAAACAAAAACTTAAAAGTGTTAGGGGCTAGCGGAGGGCCTGCCAAGGAAGCATGAGGCCCTGAGTTCAAACTTCAGTGCTGTCAAAAAATTTAAAAAGTGTATATCCACACACCTGGAATCCCAGCACTTGGGAGGTGCAGGCAGGAGGGTTACGGGTTCTAGGTCAGCCTGGAATATATAACAAGACTGTCTCAAAAAATAGCTCACTCCTGTAATACCAGCTGCTTGGCAGGCTGAGATCAGGAGGATTGTGGTTTGAGGCCAGCCCAGGCAAGTAATTCTCGAGATCCCATCTCCAAAATAGACTGGAAGTTAGCCTCAAGCAATAGGGCTCCTGTTTTGCAAGTAAGAAGTCATAAGATCAAACCCCAGTCCCACCAAAAAAAAAAACCAAAAAACCAATATTGCTTGTCTTAGTTCGAACTGCTTAAAGAACTTGCCATTAAATCGAGTGGTTTTACAAAACAATTTTCTTTTTGTGGTACTGGGGTTTGAACTCAGGACAGTGCATCTTATCTCCATTTCTGATAAACAGGAATTTTGTTTGCTAGTCTTTTTTTTTTTTTTTGAGATAAGTCTTGCTGTATAGCCCAGGCTGGCCTTGAATTCGTGATACTCCATGATATCTTATCTTAGCTTCACAAGTGCTGATGTGCACCACCAGGCCTAGCTTTGACACCCTTTTTGGTAAACAACTGCAATGAGCAGATGCTATTCACCCTGCTTATCTAGGGAGAAATCAATGTTCTAGACCAATTAAGTTCTGGGGTCGGGATGCAGATTGACTCTGACTGGTTTAGAGTGCTTTGAATAAGGTAGTTATATTATGCTTTCACTGATTTTTGCTGCTGTTGGGGATGCCTGTCTTTTGTAGGAACTTAAACTATGGATTTTACCTGTGGAATCTGCTGAACAATCAGCAGTGCTCTCTGGTCCAGTTACCACAGGATGCCAGAGCTTGTCTATCTCAGGGTTAAATCTACATGGGCCCACCTACCCCTGCTTTCTATTGGTTAGGAAAGGTGAGAATGACATTTCTCCCATCTGTTGCTTCTTTATCCTCTTACAGTTTATATTTCTGCTGTACAACATGCAAACCAAATTTGTGGCAGACATATATAAGTTTTTTTTGAGATTGGGTTTTGCTATTTAACCAAGGCTGATTTGGAACTCAAAGTCCTCCTGCCTTATCCTCCAGAGTGCTGGAATTACAAACGTGAACCACTACTCCTGGCTCAAAGCAATTTCTTTAAAAATTTTCCTTTAGGTTTTTCTGCTGGTCTCATAAAATAGCAGATGGATAAAAAAAATCAGGCTGGCAGTGTTTTCCCCTTCACCAAGGGAGAATAGGTAGATCATATCAGTATGTGCTGTTTTGTTTTGTTTTTTAACTTTCTTATGATCCTATTACTGTTGTACTGGGGTTACACTGTGACATCGACATCTACAAAATTTTTTACAATATATCATAGAATATGTGCTGTTCTTAACGGGTTTTATATGTGTTTTGGAAATGATCTTCTCCAAAAATACCAGCCTCTTTTCTTAATTTGTTTTCCATTGGTGCTTCATAATTTCTTGAACTTTACTTCTTGTGCTTCTTACCTAGGCAATCTTTTGTTTTTTCAGAATGCTTTTTTTTTTTTTAACATTCCAACAGTCCTTTTGACCTCACTGGAATCTGCACTCCATTAAGCCCACCGGCTTTGCCCTGTTCCTAACCTCTCTTTGTATCTTCATTTCCTTTTCTTAACCAATTTGAAATTTGTGGCCAATCATTGTCTTTCCTTTGCATACACCGTCAGTTGCTTTGCAAGCTATCACAGCCCCTCGGCTTCATCACACTTACTTGGCAAAACTGCAACGCACATAAAATCTAATTTTCCAACCTATTCTATTGCCCGTTCCCTGAGGCTGAATGTGAATGCAGAAAAATTATCTCAGTGACTGGTCTCATTTAAATAAGTGAGGGCTGAGGATATAGCTCAGTGATAGAGTATTTGCCTAACATGCACCAGGCCCTGGATTTAATCCCTAGTACCATGCCAGCAATCAAAAACCTTAAGTAAATGACCACAAGACTGTTATCTCTAAAGTTCCCATAATTCTGCTGGGCAATCAGAGAATTGTTCCTCATCCATTTGCCATATTGTTCACTTTCTTGCCTGTTTGCTCCTTGGCTAACGAAGAACCTCCATGTTTCACTGAGAAGACAAGCAATCAGAAGAGAATTGTAAGGGAGGGAAATAAGAGTAATAAAGGGGTGAATTTGTCAAAGCACATTATACACATGTATTGACATATCACAATGTACCCCTTTGTATAATTAATATATGCTAATAAGAATACCAAAAAACTTGTAGGGGCTGGGGGTGTGTAGTTCATTGGTAGAACTTGTGCTTAGTGTGGTTGAGTACCTGGGTTCCATCCCTAACACTTCCAGAAAAAATTTTTGTTGGCAGTCCTGAACTCCAGGCCTCACACTTGATAGGCAGGCACTCTACTACTTGAGCCACACCTCCAGCCCTTTTTTTCTTTATTTTTGAGATAGGATCTTGCTCTTTCTGTCTAGCTCCAACTAACAGTCTTCTTGCCTCTGCCTACCAAATGCTGGAATTACAAGTGTGGGCCACCAGACCAGGCTCAAATTTCAGCAGTCTTACTATATGTGGGTCAGTCTCACCAGTGTTTCATTGTGTTATTCCTGTTTAAAGAAAATACATCCCTATTTCCCATGACAGTTTCTATGTAATTTCTTCACGCCTATTTATAGCAAAACTCAAAAGCTTTTTCTGTAGTTTATCTCCCAGATATTACCTTCTGCGTTCTCTTAAACCCTCTTTGATACTGCTTCTATCCCCTACCATGACACAGGAACAGTTGCTAGTGATTTTATCTTGTTAAATTTTGTCCCTTTGTGGGTTTTTTTTTGTGTGTGTGGGACTTGAACTCAGGGCCTACATCTTGAGCCACTCCACCAGCCCTTTTTTGTGATGGGTTTTTTTGAGATAAGAGTCTTGAGAACTATTTGCCTGGGCTGGCTTTGAATCTCCACCTCCTGACCTCTGACTCCTGAGTAGCTAGGATTTACAGGCATGAGCTATTGGTGTCCAGCTCCTTTGTGAGACTGTTTGCTCCTATTTGTCCTAAGTTCTGTGTAGTAGCTTCTCAATGTTGGCCCCTCTACCTGGACTAATGAAAGCGCCACCATCTGAAATTTACATCCAAGACAAATGGTGAACATAGAGTCAATTGTGTGTAAGGAGATAGAGCTTTGTAGTAAACAGGGTAGAGTTGAGCAAAGAGGATGGAGAGCTGGATGTCCATGGCTCATGCCTGTAATACTAGCTTCTTGGGAGGCTGAGATCAGGAGGACTGTGGTTTGAGGCCAGCCCTGACAGTAGTTAGACCCCATCTTCCCAAAAAAAAAAAAAAAAAAAAAAATGGACTGGAGGGGTATGGCTCAAGCCACAGAGTGCCTGCGCCTGCTTTGCAAGTGCAAATTTCTGAGTTCATAACCCCAGTCCCACCAAAAAAAAAAAAAAAAAA